TAATGGAGCAGATAAACTGGAATAGTGGAAAGGGAATTAACTGAACACAATGAACGAGAATACTGACACATTGTGACAAATGTAGCTAATGTCACTGAACAATTTGTGTGGTAATTATCAAATGGGAGCCTATCTTGCTGTGCAAACTTTCACCAAAAACTCAGTAAAAACATTATATAAAACAAGAAGAAGAAAAAAGATCTAATCAGACACGAGGAAATTAAATAGTTTCTAAAGAGTATGGTAAAAAGAAAAGTAGAACTGCTATTAACTTACAAGTTATCTGTCAGGTATAGTAGTAAAGAAAGTGACATGATGGTGAAGAACTAGGGCATTTGGAGAAGACAAATGCTTGTAGGGGAAATGCTTGTACTGTCAGCTTGTAGGGGAAAACATTTTTTTATGATATGATGAATAAAACCAGCTTTTTTCCCTTTCTGTTTTTCTAGCCAGCCCTATAGAGTAGGCATTTTATTTTATAGCCTCTCTAAAACACTAAAGGAGTTCTGGTAGCGTAGTGGTTACAAAGCAGGCTGCTAATCTCATGGTCAGAAGTTCGAAATTACCAGCTGTTCCACGGGAGAAAGACAAGGCTTTCTGCTCCCGTAAAGATTTACAGCCTCGGAAACCCTGTACAGGGTCGCTGAGTCGGAACCGACTCCACAGCACATAACAACAACTAAAACACTAAGCTTACCTGGAAAATGCCAAGTCAACATACTCAACTTCATTGAATTCAACCCACTCATCTGAACTCTATAGTTCTCATATTTCTATCTCTTTCTTATTAACCCCTTAAATCTGTGCTTATCCTCTTCAACTACCAAATTATAAGGGAATATATATACACACACACACACATATATATACTGGTATAGAGCCAACTCTCCTTGATGTTGTTTTTAAGTGCCTTTGAGTTGATTCCGACCCACGGCGACCCTGTTTAGGGTTTCCAAGGAGCAGCTGGTGAGCCTGACCCACAGACCTTGCAGTTCAAACAACTTTGCAATCTGATGCATTAGCCCACAGCACCACACCAGGAGTCCTTAGGTTCCCACTAAAAAGCCATCTTCTTCATTTACTTTACTTTAGTTGGTGGTTGTGTGCCACTGAGTTGGTTCTGACACATAGCAACACTGTATAGGATTCTGAGACTAAATCTTAACAGACACAGAAAACCTCATCTTTCTCCCAAGGAGCAGCTGTTAGATTCCTGACTTGCAGTTAGCAGAGCCCAACGCCTAACCCACTATAACACTAGACCCAGCATTGTACAGATACATAAATATTAGGGATAATCTCTATATTTTAATCAAATACATGCATTGGCATTAACTGTAGAATATAGGTGATATTACATCTTATTTTATGTTTATTAGACTCACATGAAGAAAATAATTTTAACAGTCTGTCAGGAGATAAAAATTAGAGGCACTATATAAAACTATTTGTCAAAATTAGTATACTTTCATTGAAGTAATAATAGCAGACTTTTTCAAATATATAATGAATAAGCAATTATCACTAATACCATTAAAAGATAATAAAATAAAATTCTGAATTAAATATATAGAGTTAAATAGGGAAATTAAACCTATCTAGGGGAATATTATCTGAAGTAGGGGAGAATAACAACAAAATACTATGTAGAAATGTCACCCTGGAATAGATTCTGGTTTAAATAATACTAAACTAGTTCATAAAAAAAGTGCAGCCAGAGTGCTCCCTCATACTTTGGACATATTGTCAGGCGGGACCAGTCACTGGAAAAGGATATCATGTTTGGTAAGTTGGAGGGTCAGAGAAAAAGAGGAAGACCCCCAACGAGATGGATTGGCCAAGTGGCATCGATGGACTCAAGCATGCCAACAGTAGTGAGGTTGGCCCAGGATCGGGCAGTGTTTCGTTCTGTTGTGCATAAGGTTGCTATGGGTGGGTACCGACTCAATGGCACCTAACAACAACCCCTCACTAAACACAGAAAATCTTTACTAATCAATTTAACAGAAAAACAGCATCATAACTGAATAATAAGGTGGGCATTAACTGCACATTTCTAAGGATGCCTAAAGTGATGAACATACAAGGATCAAATTCTGATGCATGGGAAAATGGATTTTACATTGTGAGAAAAAACTCTTGTGGGTGTGGTCCATCTTCGAGAATATAAAGGCTCATGAGATTGCTAGACCTGGCACACAGATTGTTGATTTACATCCAGGGATATGTAAGCAGGATAAATTGAGGGAAGGGAAGAAAGAAACCTGTTATATGTCTGTTGTTGTTGTTGTTGTTGTTATGTGCTGTGCAGTCAGTTCAGACTTATAGGGACTCTGTACAGGGTTTCCGAGGCTGTAAATCTTTTTGGGAGCAGAAAGCCTCATCTTTCTCCCTTGGAACAGGTAGTAGTTTTGAACTGTTGACCACTAAAATAAGCAGCCCAATTTGTAACCAGTATGCTGCCAGAGTCCTGGTGTGGCGTTGTGGGTTAATGCACCAGACTGCAAATAGGATGAGATAAAAGTCAACTGAAACCTCTAAGCTATGAGGCAGAAAAATATCAAGGACTTCTGATACTATTTTTCATAGTCATACAAATGAAACAAACATCAGAATGTTCATATTTCAAATAACGGAGAAAAGGCCAAAACAAAAGAAGCCTGCACTTACCTAAGGCAATTTTGATAAAATCACTATGACTTGAAGGCTTGTTAGCCTTTAACTATGTGTGAACAAAGAAAAAGTGTATACATAAACGGTTCTGTTAAACATGAGTGAGCAGGAACACTTTCAATTAGCCATGGAACACTGTCCAAAACTACTTTTCTTAATTAAAGGGAATTGAATTAAATATTACCACCTTCATGAAAATGGAGCTTTGCCTCCAAAGAATTATTTAAGATATCACCATATTGATATTCAAAGACTATCACATTCCTAATTTTAGAAATACCTGGTTACCTTTTATTCCCCTCAAATATATTTCCTGAGCAACATTTATAAAACTGCTACCAAAAACACCTCTATAATAATATAATAGGCATGTTATGAGAATATTGTAAAATGCTCAAGCAAATTTATTTTGTATAAAGTATTTTAAAATTCTTTGATGGCTAAAATATACTGTGAATGTCCAGTTGTTGTTGTTGTTAAATGCCGTCGAGTCGGTTTCGACCCATAGCGACCCTGTACAGGGTTTCCGAGTAGGAGGTTCAATATGCAATGTGGCATCTCTGAACTTATTTACATTAAAAAAAAAAAAATTCCATAGTAAACAATTTTAGAAATGCTGCTCTGAACTTAAAGAAAAGTGGTAAATTCATGGTATTCTTTATTCTCCCCACTACTTACATTTAACCCTGCGGCCTACTCCTCAACTGCACTTACCTTTGACCCCTATGTGATCTCAATTCTTCACAATCTGCTTGTGTTAATGTTTTGGGTTATCTATCCATCTTTCATAAAATCAGCACTGTTCTTTATAAACTCATAAATGGTAGGAACAGTATTTGCATACTTTTCTACTTTAAAAATCTAGAACAATTAGGCACTTTTAAGTACAGTTTTTTTTAAAAAATTCTTCAATAGTTCCTTATTGCTGTTGTGGTTAAGTGCCACAGTTCTGACTCACAACAACCCTGTATAAAGTTTCTGAGGAGCAGCTGGCCAGTTTGAACCATTGACCTAGCAGTTACCAGCCCACTGCTTATCCTACAGAGCCATACCAGGATCCCTCTATTAGTGAGTTCAGATTACAACCCACTGTAAAGTCATTCCTTATCATTCACTTGGTTCTCTGTCTTTAAAAATCAAGATCATGTGACCTTGGGGAAATTTAGAAAGCGGCAACCATTACTCATAAATTCACAAAAAAATATAAACTTTTCTCTAGAATCTCTAATCCTTTCAATTAATGCTTGTCATACAGGGAAGCACTCTTTTCATTAAAAGCCCATTAAGACCTTAAGTGATGACACAGACAGCACAAGAAACTCAATGAAAACCAAGAAATTTGCTAGTACCAATTTCCCATTGGAAGCAGGATATTTAATCAACAATGCATTTTGTTTTCCCAATGTTTATACTCAGGAGCTAGCAATCCAAATGCTTGCAGAGCACACTCATTTTTATAATTTTAATTTACAATGTACTCTGCTGGTAGAGGTGGATAGATTTCTAGCAAATCCATGCAAACCAACAGCATTAAGTAGCTGCTTCTGATATCTGTTGTCGCCAGTCATTATAGGGGAGCAATTCAGATGTTCAAACGGAAATGGAAAATTTCACCCTTTCCTGATGATAGACCTCAGTTCAATGTTTAAAACTAAAACAAAAAATGAAGGGTAGAGCCTGCTAATTAGCTACCACTAAAGTCTTAGCATCCTACTATTTTGTATTCTGAAACTCAACTTTAGGTATCTTCCAGTTCATAGCTAATAAACATAGTTCTATCACCTAAATGAGTCCTGGTGTTGCACTGTAGGATAAGCACTCAACCACAAGGTCGGCTTGGACCTCAAGGTAAGTTTAAAACACAAGGTCAGCGGTTCAAACTCACCATCCGCTCCTTGGAAACCCTATACAAGACCGCTATGAGTTGGAATTGACTGGACGGCACTTAACAAAAACAACATCACCTAAGTGGGGAGCACTGTGGCTCTGTAGGATAAGCACTGGACTGGCTAACCACAAGGTCAGGGGTTTGAGTCGCTCTGTAGGAGAATGATGAGGCTTTCTGTTTCCATAAAGATTTATAGCCTTGGAAACCCTATACAGAGACCCTATGAGTAGGAACCAACTTGAAGGCACTTAACAACATCACCACCTAAATATTCAAAATGTCTTTTAAAGTACCAATACAAAGTCCAACATTTCTCAATACTCTAATATTTAACAAACAAACAAGAAACAACAACAAAATAATAAAAATGAAACATCGTTATCTTAAAAACAACAACAACAACAAAAAAAAACAACAACAAAAAACCCCAACAACCTACCTTCAAACTAGACTCATAGTCTGTGTTCACTTTGAACATAAGCCCAAGTCGTAAATGAATTTCCTTGGCTCGACAAAAGCTGGGATCAACATAAAGCACCTCCTGAAATGCTTTAATTGCCCTGAAAGAATATAGACACAAGATATCTTAACTTTTCAACACTTACATGAATTTTTCTTGGTAGTACAGTAAAACTTGTTTTATGCAAATACTGTCTTAAAGGAAATGCCATTTTATAAAAATGATATGAATGAATAAATAACTTTTAAAAGTGAAAGTTTTTATTAGAAAGGTGCTCTTGGGTCTTTTATACAATTGAATTGCATAATCTAACTTAATATAAAGGGAGAATAGGAAGATCAATTGAATTTATTCATAATTATTCAAACAATATTTTCCAGTTCAATACAATTCTCAGTGTAAACAAATGATTTCATTTTTGCTGGAATTTCTGGAGGGTCAGGGAGAGTAAGTAAGCAGGTTTTATGTTTAAGGGAAAAGGGATTAATACTGTGTCACGTATACTTCACATGTATTTCACATTTAGGCTTAAAATCCACATGGCTACTTATTCCTACTCTTATGAGGTAGGGATCATTTTTCCATACAGTTATCAAATAGTTTCTGCATTATTTGTGGAAAAGACCATCATTACTACACAGCTCTGAAGTACAATCTTTATCCTAAATCAAATATCCATTATTTATGCAGGCCTGTTTTAGGGTTCTCTATTCGATTTTACTTTCCACAAGGTTACTTTGCCCCAAATTTACAGGATTATCTTTTAGGGTAGTGATTACCAGAAAAACAAATTATTACTTAATACATACGCTCATTTCTTTAATTTCATCACAAAATATATCACCAACTCAAAAATGAATATAAAGATAATGACAAAAATATCTATTTTTAATTTCTAAGGTTAGAACATCACATAAAATAGTTCATTAGTTATCGCTTTAAATTCCTTTACTTAATTTTTATGGTTTGTTCCCAAATACATGCTAAAATATTCTTTACAAACCTTTTTACCTATTCAGTACCCCTAAACAGCTTAAGTGTAGCTATTTATAATCTTAGATGCTTCAAATAAATCAACTTTCTATATACAAAGTACAAATACCATACCACAAAATAGTGCAAAGTAACATTCCATACATCTTTAATAACACTCTTTTGACTGATACATGCAATTTTACTTTTCCCAAGGAAGTATGTGTGGTTTGGTACATGTTCATTATAAAATTAAAAGTTCTAACAGAGTTTAATGGGGAGGAACGGGGTAATAGGCTCTTTATAACAGGGTAATAGGCTCTTTATAACATTGGGTTATGACAGTACTTGATTTTCTTCTTAAAATGAAGCTCAGTATCTGTTAGATGGCTTTTGTAAATGTATGGGGTATGTACAAATTTTATTATATAATATACAAGGGTATATTTTCTATTTTAAAAAAAAAAGGATTGCTATAAAATCCTAGAAACCTTAATTAAACAAAAATATCAAAACTAAAGCCACTGTTTCTCAACATAGCTTCTCCATCTAAGTGTATTCAGTTCAGAAAGTGGTGTTGTCCATATTCCTAACCCTTCTCCCTGAAGGAGCCCTGGTAATGCTGTGGGTTAGGCATTGGACTGCTAATCTCAAGGTCAGCAGTTTAAGCCAACAGCTGGTCTGTGAGGCTGTCTGCTCCCGTAAAGTTTTAAGGTCTCAGGAACCCAAAACAGGGTCACTATGAGTCAGTCAACTCAATGAATTCCCCTAATGAATTCTGTGCTCTTTGATTTACCTCATGCCAAAAGAGCAGTTTTGTCATCCTTGAGGGACTCAAATCTTATTCTTTTCAATGTTCCTTCAGTTTGAGGAACACCACCAAAAAAAAAAAAAGAGAGAAGGTTATAGAGTGCATTGGGTGTGACAGATTACGGTTCTGTGTCACCTTGACTGGGCCAGGATTCCCAGCGATTTTGCAGTTGATAGTTAACTCTATGATGATTATCCATGAGCAGCCAATCAAATGAAAGGATGTTTCCTTGGGGGCGCTGCCTGCTCCCAATATAAAGGACACAAGGGAAAAACTCACTCACTTTTTTCTGCTGAAACCGTTTCATCACCAATGCAGTTTTCCATTTTCTTAAAACTTCTTCCAAATAAGCCCCCCTGGTCATCCTGTGTCCTTTTACAAAATCTATCAAGATTACTCCTTTGAAATCCCAAAAAGCATTCTCCATAATCTTCTGAATTAACTTCTTTGACCAGCAGATCCCCTCAGAAGGCACTGTTTTGATTGGACATTTTTTTTGAAGGCTCCCTAAGGAGACTAAGGACTCCTGGTGTGGCACTGTGGGTTAATATGCTGGACTGCAAAGTCGGTTTGAACTGCAAAGTTGGTGGTTCAAGCTCACCAGCAACTCCTTGAAAACCCTACACAGGGTCACTATGGGTTGGAACCGACTCGATGTCACTTAACAACAATAAGGAAACTAAGATAAGTGTATTACTGAGAGAATGTGTTTGTTGTCATTCACTGATTGCAGAAACATGTTGAAAAATGTTTTGTTTGGAACAAATCAATGTGTCTATAAACTGGAAGTCTAGTAGCAATACTTTTTGACTTGTCCTTGTATATAAGCTACTTTGAGGCAGGCTAGGGGAGTAAAGGAGCTCTGGTAGCGTAGTGGTTACGAATTGGGCTGCGAACCTTAAGGTCAGCGGTTCAAAACTACCAGCCGCTCCGCGGGAGAAAGATGCACTCCTGGCTTTTTAACATGGTCATAAGATCCTC